AGGGGAACCATTGATAAGAATAGATAAGTGATGGTTGGAGATGCAAGCCTTAATCCAGGTTCTTCACTTGAAACCAAAACCCATATGCAATTGTAGTTCATCTAGTACGTTCCAGTCGACTCTCTCCCAATCAAGCTTAATGACAAGGCTCTAAAACCCCGAATTAAATTTGGAGTGAATGGCTTCATGGGCAGAGAAAGCCCCGTCAAGAATCTGTATATTAGCTACAAAAGCGGATAGAGTGGGGGAAATGATAGAGTGGAGGACAGCTTGAAGGTGAGTGGCTTGAACTTTAACAAGAATTTTGTAAGAAGAGTTAAGGAGGCTAATAGGGCAGAAGTCTCTCAATTTTTCGGCCCCTTCTAACTAAGGGATTAAAGCAATGAAAATAGAGTTACGGGCAGAATTGAGGCAACTCCTATGGAAAAAATCATTAAAAAAGGGTTAAAGGTCATCTGGTGCCAAAGTGTCCTAGAATTCATGGAAAATGGCAATGGGGAAGACATCGAAACTAGGTGCTTTGTCCCTGCCTAGGTCAAGGACGGCCCTGTGCTCCAAAAATGGCATTTCCAATCAAACCGCATTGTTCAGGGATAAGGAGGAAAAGGAGAGGTCACCTAGGGAAGACCAGGCCTAGTGTGTAACACGAAGAGGTGTTTAAAGAATCTAATTATGATCCTATTAACCTGCTCAAAGGCAAGAGAAGGTATAGTTACAACAGATATTTGGATAATTGCATTGCCTCTTCTTCTGCCATTAGCAGTTCTATGAAAGAAAGCAGTACTTCTATCCCCTGCCTTCAGCCATTTGATTCTAGACCTTTGATACCAAAAGGTCTCTTCCGTTTTATGAAGTTACAAAAGATTATATTTGGTCGAGGATTTATCCTCTAATTCAAGGTTTAAAAGGGGTCTAGTTTCCTAGTTTCCTACAGGGTATCCAAGGAGTGAATAGAAGTGTTGCATTCGGGTTTTTTTTCCCTGAAGTTTCCAAGGATGTTACGACTCCACTATTTGATGGAGCCCTTCAAAAGCTGGAATTTTTAAGATAATCTGAAGTCGGCCCATCCTTCGACCGAGAAGGAGGTCCAGCAGCTTCTAAAGAATTAGGCAAAAGAAGGTTAATCCATCCAAAACAATTCAAATCTAAATGGCCTATTAACCAGCAGAATGGGACTAGTGTCCAAGAGGATAGGTTCATGATCTGAAGTAATTTTAGGAAGGACAATAGAGCGAGTTCAAGGAAAACTAGAATCCCAGGAGTTGGAGACTAGAAAACTATCAATTTTGGTCGTGATAGGAGAGGCAGCATGGTTAGACCAAGTGAAGGAAGCCCCTAAGAGAGGACTTTCCAGAAGGGGCACACTATTTAGGAAATCAGAGAAAGCTCTCATTGATGCAGTAATGCGACCGCCGAAACTCTTCTATTGGACCCATCTAACCATGTTAAAATCACCCCCTAGAAGCCAAGGGACTTCAATGGAGGGTTTTTCCGACATGAGCTCTGGCCAAAGCATCTGGCAAGTAAAAGGACAATTGGTACCATAGACAAGGGAGGTCTTGAAAGTAAAATTGTCTGAGATTCTGCAGAAATGGACATTTATGGAAAAGTCTCTGATGGAAGAAGAGACAGCATGAAGAATCGTAGGATTCCACGAGACCCAAATGCCCCAGGGAGTCTTTAGCAACCCAGCTGCAGGGCCTCCTTCCCCAAGTGTTCCTGATGAGCGTGCTGGGAACTTAGTTTTGAAGAGACCTAAAATATCTGAGAACTGAGAGGAAACTAGAGAACGAACCGCAGTACACTAGGTATGACTACCAAGATCCCTAATATTCCAACAAAAGATCTTCATTTAGAGGAGTGGGGTGTAGGGATAACTTCCTTTTAAACCTACGCTTCTTAGGACTTGAAGTAATAGAGGCGATGAGACGAACCTGTCTAAAGGATGAAGCAGGGGCATCATAATTGACATCAGACAGTAAGTTAGCTAACTCTCTAGGGCCTTTAGGATTTTCAAAGAGGCAATAACCTGAGTAACACCAGCATCTTCTCTGAGCGAGTCAACAATGTTAGCGATGTTTCCATCGAACAGTAGACCCATAGTCGCAATCATGTTTCCCAAGTTGGGTGTGCCTCTGTCTATCCTTTGAAGTTCCTAATTGTCCACCGCGACTGGCGATTGGATATCAAAGTCAAAATCCTTAGAAGGAGGGTGCTGGAGCAATTGCAAAGGTAGGGTGGAGGAGGGAATGGGGTCTGAGGGCAAAGGGGAAGGCAATGTCGAGTTGGGCAAGCTAGTTGAAAATGCGAGGGGAATCATTTGCAAAGGGGTCGGTGTAAGAGAAGGCGGGGGAGGGGGCTGTGGATTTTGTTTGGGAGAGGGACACAGGAAGAGGGGAGAAGAAGTAATTTAGAGGAGCGATGAAGGGGGGTAACTTACCTTGAGAGGAATGGAGCCAATCTCATTTCAAGCGAAAGGGGAACAAGGCTGTCCAAGTCCGTGTTATTTAAGCTCGAATCAGCGGGACTAGGAAGAGGAACGGCGAAGGAATTAGAGTGAACGGCGGCAGGGGCCAACGCATGCGATGTAAGGGTAAAATCACCTTGAGGTGACATGTCTGATCTAGGTTGAAAAGTAAAAAAGGCAGCATTAATTGTATGGGGCACAAGTGGCAGGAGGGATTGTTCCTTAAGGAGCGTGTCAACCTCAAGAGAGAGTAATGGGGTGTGATCGAGACCTGGGGAAAGGTGAGGGGACGGCAATAAATGCATCATTGGGAGCTACAACGACAAACGACGCTTGAGGATATGAAATGACGACATTTTGGGGTGATGTGTGGGGAGTTGAGGAGGGAGGAATTAATGCACCCAACGAAGTGGAATGGGAAGGCGGCACCAGGTGAGAAGCAATAATGGCATTGTCCTGGGGAAGGACAGGTGGCTATGAGGATTGAAGCATCTGTAATGGACCAGGATCAGGGGGAATAATGAGGAGGATAGACGAGGAATATTTGGTGGATCCGAGGGGTGGTACCTTTACTAGGAAGGTCAATCCTGAGTAGAGGTTGTTGGAACTCCGGATCACAGTGGTCCTAAGTAGGGGAGGTGCGTAAGTCATACGAAGAGGTGGGTTTAAGGATTACACTAGATTGTGCACGCTTCTCGTGGGTCACCGTAGTCCATCCATTGTGGTCCGAAACAAAGTTTCATGGTGACCAGGAGTAGCAAACCCTTGAATGGAGATTTTGAGAAAGAAAGAAAAAACCATTGAAGTGGAGGTGGAGTGTAGAGGAAATGGAGTCCAGATTGATAGATTCAACAAGTAAAATGAGGAAGCCTAAGGGATGAGTGCCAAAATATTTCCAATGGACTAAAATGAAACCTCCACAGGAGTCCCCAATGGCCTCGAAGACCGATTGGATCTAGAGATGAACCGGTATGCCTTGGACTAGCAATCAAACCTTAGGTTTATGCACAACCTCACAGGACTCTTCCCACTTAGTTAAGGACAAACGACCCCCTCCGAATGAGAGGTTGGTTCAACTGACTTCCAAAGAGAGGTTGGTTCAACTGAACATAGTTTGAAGCCATCTAGTGATACCTTTGATATCATTTCACTGAGGCAAGAAGGATGTTGTAAAGTAGTTATGTAAAGATAAGAGTCGGTCTAGGATCTCACTGGATTTGGGAAGCCAAATTTGGGGTACACCATTAGAGAGAGAGAAAAGTGAGCGGAAGAAGAAAGGGCAGGTACAAACTCAGAAGGAGCTGGAGCACTGACTGGAGTAGGGGGAGAAGGATTAGCGTTACTCATGGCAACAATGGCTACAAACGATTTCCAAGCATAGAAAGTTTCACGTGAAACCTTGGGGGGACGAGTAGTGGGAAGAAACTTGTTGGATTCATAAAAAATGGATAGAGGGGTAGAGAAGGAGTTTCGATTGCATTAAGAAGCCTCCTATCTTGAGACCCGACCTGGGAAAAACCAATCGCAGAGGGCTTCATTTCCTCTCTTCATGTCCTCCAAAGCATCGCATGCAGTATTTGATTCCATTTGACTTGTTCTCATTCTTTCCTAGAGTGTTAGCATGTTCAATATCAGTTAATCATTTATTTATAAGTTAATAATGGGTGGTTAATGTTAAATAGAATGGATGGCTAGGATTTCGTAGGAGCTTTCTACCGTTTTTTAGTTACATAAATCCTTGTATTTAAGGGGAAGGAGCTCCCTCTTGGAAAAGATGGTTATTTTATGAAGAATCAACCCTAATTTGCTTCAAAAAATCATAAAAGAAAACCACCACTATTAAAAATTGCACATGCATGGCTCTGTTCTTGAATATTTATTATAAAATCTCTAATTGTAAAAAACCACATCAAATTTACTGAAACCCTCAACATTGTCCATCACTCTAAAAATTTAAATGTGCCAATCACCATTTCAAGGACATCCCCCATGCTTGTCAAATTGCAACCCCAGCAGCAATTCATGGCAATGATAACACAGCAAAATGAGAATCATTCCCATACCCATATCCCAAACTCTGAAAGCACATTTTAAATCACAAAACATGGTGCCATGCCTAGGTCAACAACCACAAAATAACTTGATAGATTTTCCCTCTAAATTCCAAAAATATGCATTGGACTCCTTAGATATTACAAACCAATGTACTCTTTTTCAGGTTGGAACCAATTAGCAATGGTCATCAAGCAGCCTCAGCAAACGAGTTACCCTAAAATGCTCAAAATCAAAGGAGATATAGGAGCATAACTCTGTCTCAATATGCCAAGAGAAAAAGCCACACAAAAAATCTAGCATAAACAATTGAAAGCTCCAGATCCTTCACATGGAGATAACACAACCATTTTGTGATAGAAACAAAGTGTGAATCAAATTGCAAAGTTGACACACTCAACAAGTTCAAGAGGCGATCAATTTATGAAGAAGAAGAAAAAGACTATACATTGAGAAACTACTAACAGAAAAGCACACATACCCTAAACTTCAAACCATTGTATAAGGATGGGTTCTCGTGAAGCCTCTGATCCCATATCTGTGAGCACCGTTAGCAACAATTAACTTTTATCACTCTAAACTGACCAAGAGTATTTCTTTCTCCAAACAAAAAAAAAAACAGAGGAGAGAAGATAGGTAAAAAAAAGTTGCTCAAAGAGAAACACAAGGAGGCTTCTGATAAATGTAAGTTGCAGTGATGGATGGATGAGTGAACCTGAGATATGGATTCTTCAAGCCTGGGGTCTGGATGAGGCATCCTGTCATAAGATGCACTGAAATCTACAAACACCTTCAATGAAACAGGGAAAACAATCTGACATATGAACATTTTTTGTGCCATGAATCGTGGATGCGAAGAATAGAAACAATGAAGAAGGAACTCTCAAGAATCAAAAGACATTGGAAAAAATCGTTGGAATTCTTCAAAGAAATCAAAGAGAGAGAGTATAAAACCTGAGAACGAGAGAGTCCAGTGGGGCAAGCAAAGAGTATAGAGTAAGCGCGAGGAGGAGGAGATGAGGCCGGCATGGCTACCTTAGAGCTTCCCAGAGTCCGTAGTTTTCCCTCTTCTATACCCCTCCTCACCGGGAAAATGCAGGAAGCCCCCTGTTGATTCTCAACGCCAGCGTCAGTGCTCAGTCGCCCTTGCGAAAGAGGACCAACTTCCACGCAGGCGAAACCAACAACTGCTTTTGACTGTAAAACTCGATGACTGGGAAAAAGCTGTGTGTTCTGTAGGTTTCGTTTAGTGCGTTGACAAAGTTTTTAGAAGGAAAATTTACATCCGCGCCTCAATGAAGATACGGAATTACGAGGAGGTCCAATTTTTGGGCAATTTTACTAACAGATTATCTCTGTCCTGCGTTTTATTTATTTTTGCAAGTATGTCCTTTGGTCAATATCATATAGTTTTTTATTTTTAAAATATTTTTTAGAAGGTAGGGTGCGATTTGTATTTGTGGTCACTTCCGAACTAGTTTAATGTCTAAAATATCAGACTGCTCTAAAGTTGATTAGTTTGATGTTCGAAACATCGAATTCACCTCAATGGGTCAATCCAATTTTGTGGACGTTGGAACGGACTGAAGGAGTGTTCTTTTTCTCTGTTTTTTTCTCCTCCGCCTCCAATAAAAGCCCTAATTCAACGTCTCCCTCACATCCCTAAGAACCCCTCTCTCTCTCGCTCCAAACTCATGGTATCTAGCACTCTCCACTGCGATGTTCAAGTTGCGTTGGAAGTCTGAATCAGGTATCTTTTTATATTTCTATTATTTTCTTGTTTTATTGTGGAAAGATAAGGTTCCTCATTTTAAATTAGTGCTCTAAGATAGGTACAATTTGATCATATTTTCGTTACTCATCAGCAAACGGGTTTTCATAAAGTGCTCAAAATCAATAGAGATACAGGAGCATAACTCTGTCTCAATATGGCAAGAGAAATGGCCACAAAAAAAAGCCTGCATAAAGAATTGAAAGCCTCAAATCCTACTGTCTCAATTTTATCTGTATTTATATGACGTTAGATTTTATTTATTCATCATTGACATATTTGGTTCACATGAAAATATTTTTTAAAAAACATTTTCACCTGAACAACTTATCTCATGCAGTCAAATGTGGGAATATTTTTACATCTATTAGTTGTCAATTAGTGTGAAAATATACACTAACACCAATTGGTATGAAAATATTTCCACACTTGACCACATAAGAGAATTTTTTCATGTAAAAAAATATTTTCACGTGAACCAAACATGCCATAAAGCATTTTGGGTTCATATTGGCTACAGTCATAGACACGAAAATTATATGAGTTAATTTCATTTTGGAGCTTTAATGGAAATGTGTGCTCTAGTTTGGTATTTATTTCCAATTTTACGAATTATCCATCGCTCACTTAGTTCTAAATAGAGATGTGGGTTTGTCGTGTTTAGTCTTTCTCTTTGATTCTGAGCCATTATTTTTTTTTATTTATCTAATTGAAAACCCCATTTTCCCGATCAAATTTACTTGTTTAAATCTCTAAGAATTTCTATTCAATTTATTCTTTTTCTTTGTCGTGTTTTCGCCATCTAGTCGATTGGGTGTCATTTTGTAAATACCCCTTAGAAATTCTGGCTAATTCCTAAAAACCTTAGATCTGATTCTTAATGACCAGAATAACACTAGTGAGCTATAGTGAAATTAAACGTATTATAATTGTCTCATAACTACTAGAAACCATTCCAAGCCGTAGTAAACCACAAGAGCTTTTATCAATCCCAGAATCATTGAAATCGGACTCATCGTTGTAGGGGTTAGGGCCTAAAGAACTTTTTTTTGTTGAAATGACAAAGCAATCCCCTAGCACCCGCCACTTCAGGTTGCACGTGGGCCGCACAAGCCATGGAGGCTCGCACAGCCCTCGAGTCGTCGTGCGTGGTGCAGCCTGATGGGCAAGGAGGCGGCAGGGCCTTCTAGAACTCTTATTTTGATATAGGTTTCCTAGTCAAATTGGGACCTTGAGATTAGTTTAAATATTTTAACCCTAACCCTCATCTAAACCTATAAATGCTCCCTCAAAAATCCTACAAAAATCAATTAAAATCCCTTCCAAAAAATCAGTCAAAATCCTTAGAAAATAGCCTATAAAATTTCAAAAAATTAGAAAATACCAAGAAAATCCCAAATAAATAGGAAAGACTTAGATAAATCCTGGTAAATTAAGAAAAAATAGGAAAAATATCCAAAATTGGGTAAAAAAATATAAGACGTCCCAAAAAGCTTAGAAAACCTTAGAAATCCATATCCTTTCCTTGTAAATCTTTAAGGAAACCCCATACATACAATTCCTAAGCCTTCTTCAACCCCAAAAACTCAAAATCTATCGAATATAAGCCAAATCACAATAATTACAGCAACAAAAGGTATTCATTAAAGGAGATAGTAGCACAAGAGTGGCCTAATCCGAGCCCTAAACTCTGGGTTTCGGGTCATTTGAAGTAAGTAGTCTCTTCTCTGCTTCTTTTAATTTTATTTCTTTAGATTTCTAGTTTATTTATGTAATTTTTAGTTTATTTGCATATCTGGGAAAATTAGTTAAGATTTGTTTAAGCTTTTTAAGGTCTAGAATATTGAATATATAGTTAGCGCTGCAGTAGATTTAGAAGAGGATCAGACCTACAAGATCTGTGATTATAATAAGTCGATAATTTGAGTGACCCCCACTCTCCCAATCAATCTACAAATTTAACTTATTTCGCAAGAATTTGAGCTAATCTCACTCAGATATTGGTCTAAATTGCGCGTAAACAGTTTGGTGGCCACTGTGGGGGACCTCGGGATATAGATTCGCATATTTAGACCACAAAAGGCTTTCTCTATTTTTTCCAATAAAAATAGAAAATATAGAGGCCAAAAAATTACCAAAAAGGTCCCCAAAAATTGATTTGGGGCCCACTATACAGTGCGAGTCGGATTGACTCGTACAGGACCATGCATGAGCCGCTTCAACTCGCACAACGCGAGTCTCTGCGGCTCATGCTATGTGGACGGACTGGAAAAAAATTTCGCCAATCCTTTCCCCCCTCTTTTGTTCTTTTGTGTTTTCTAGTTTGGCTGTTTCCTCTTTCCTGCAACCTGAAAGTTCCATAAAAATAAAAGGATAGGAGGTAGGTTAGGATAGATTAGATATTTGCTTGTTTTTATCTCTCATATTAGGCTTTAATCTTTATCAAATTAGATTAGGGTTTATATCTTTATCTGTTTGTTTATCCTTGTCTGCTTAGATTGGGCTTTTTAATCATTATTTAATTAGATTAGGTTGAGATCTTTACGTTTTTCGCTATATATTTATCTTGTGCATCATTTGGTTGTTTGCATCTTACTTGTTTATCATGGTAGTTGCACCCACCACTTGTGTGTTGCGTTTCCACATCCTTAACACACACAATTTGCACTTATCAAAAGAATTTGAATATGAATCTATTAGGAGCCAAATCTTAGTGGCTACAGAATTGCCCTCTTTTAGCAATGTTTGTACTACTATTCAACAAGAATAAATTAGGAAGAAAATCATGAGTCTTGACTTCAAAACCCCTAAAGAAAGTATTGAGAAATCTACCTTGGTTACTACCAATAAAAAGTACAGAACTAGAAAATATCAAAATTATAGTGGAGGTAGAGACTTTAATAATTATTTCGGTGGTGCAAGGGGTCACAGTAATAGAAAGCATCCAAAAAGTTACAATTGCAACAACATAGGACATGTGAAGGATAGGACATGTGAAGGATAGGTGTTGGGTGTTGTACCAGTTAGTAAATACGTCTTTGTTGTTTGAATGTCTATCAGTTTGTGAAGTAGGATTAAGATAAGGCTTTTGTAGTTTGAATGAGTTGTAGTTTAGGATAACTAATTCCTATTTTGATGGTTGTAACATGTACATGCATACTAAATTACTTGTATAAGGATATGAATTTTTCCAAAGTAAATGTAGAAGGTAGACTTCTCTATTTGCTATAATGGTATCAAAGCTCTTGTGTTGAATTCCTGAGCATGCTCGTGGAACTGGTCCAATTTGGGTTCCAACATATTCTCTCTCTACCTCTTGCCTAGCTTCACCCTTGTTTTGCTAGCGTTTTTTGCAGTGATATTATGTTTTTTTATTTTTCTTTATTTCTTCATTGGCCCTTTTATCACTAGTTGGGTCTTTCCATCTATTTTTGCTGGAGGTTTTCATCTAGGTATTTTCTCCCCTTACTGCATCACAAAAAAAGCAGTCTTCCAAAGCTTTTTCACAAACTACATCCACCAATCTTCATTTTTGGCATTTAGGGTTGACTTTCTCTCTCTAACTCTCCTCCCTTAGTTAGGGTGCGATTAGGTAGGCTACTTTCCCTCTCATCTATATTTTATTGAGTATATCATGTTGGCTACTTTCCCTCTCATCTATCTTTTATTAAATTTCCATTGTATCAATCTCCACTTCTTTCCCTCCACAAAATCTTGCAAAAGATTCTCCAAAAATCTCCACTTCCAAAATTTTGACTTTACGAAAGATACATTCTCTCTCATTTTCCACAAAATCGTGCACATGATTGTCCAAAAATCTCCACTTCCAAAGTTTTCACTTTGCAAAAGCTACTTTCCCTGTCATATTTGCCTTTGCATCAGTAAGCTCTTTCTTTATCTCTCTACACGTCTTGTTTTTGTTACTTCCTATTCTTGAAATTTTTTTTTTTGTGCGTTTGTGATTTTTTTGATATTGTTTGCTGGTGGATTTAGCTAACTTTTGTTGGTGGGTTTTTCGATGGGTTTGTGGGCTTCTACCTTTCTACTCTCCATTTTCTCATTTACCGTTTCATTGCCTTTTCTTGGTTGGGTGTTTGTTTTTATGGGTATTTTTACTGGTTCCATTTCTCTCTATGGGGAACATTCTTTTTTTTGTGGGTTTATCTTTTGTCGTATAAGAGAGAACATAGTTTCATTTGGGCACACATGGATTCCCATTACTTAGTAGTGAAACTGTATGACCAAAAAAATTTTTGTAGGCCTCCTAACTATAAAATTTTCTAGAAGGTCGAGAATTATGGGCTACATCGACAGCCCTATTGCTTAACTGGCAAGTGGACTTGTTGATTCCAAATGGACTTGTTGATTCCAAGTGGACTGCAAGTAATACAAAAGTGAAGACATGGATCATGGAGTCCGTTGAAACCTTCATTGTTGTTAATCTAAGCCCTTTGCACACAACAAAGGCTATGTACGAATATCTTAAACGTATATATCAACAATTCAAGAATTTTATAATGCAATGATGTTAATTTGGAATCAAATTTAAGCAACAATCGCGCTCTCAACAAATTTTAAACAAACTACGATACGAGTTTGAGCATGTGCGAGCTGCACTTTTCAATCGAGATGGTAGCTACTTGCTGAAGAAACTCGTTTGAAGTCTCTTTCCATCCATGGCGATTCTTTCAGAGATTTTGCCCTTTTAGCGAATTCAAGTAAAGGGAAACGTCGGGATATGAGCAAAGTTCAGTGTTATCATTGTAGGGAGATGGGTCATTTAGCTAATAATTGTAAGAAGAAGAATATTTGCAACTACTGCAAGGAAGCTGGACATCTAATCATTAAGTATAGGAAACAACTTGAAAACAAGAGGCTACCTTTTAGAGCCTATGCTGCAGTTACCACCTCCTCAAAAATGGCCAACACTCTCACACTGCCTTCTGTTGTACCTGCACCGACATTCCTTCCCTCTCCAAGTCAGTCGCCTTTTGTCACACCAGAATTTCTTCAACAAATCATACAAACACTTTATGTTTCCGATTTTGGTAAAGCTGATCTTAAAACTTCTTGGGTATTAGATTCTGGTGCTTCCAATCACATGACTGACAACTTGTCATATTTAAAACAAGTTGTTCCATATAAAGATACTCATAACATTCATATCACAAATAGTCAAATCATTTCTTGTAGAGAAAGTTGGCTCATTATACCTTCTAACTCTCCACCTTTATATCTTTCTAATGTTGTCGATGTGCCTTGTCTATCAGCTAATTTAATTTATGTTGGTCAACTAGTCAAACAAAATTGTATTGTCTCATTTTCTACTTCAGGATGCTTAATATAAGACCTATGGATGAGGAAGGTGAGTGGGAAAGGCAGTAAGAAGGGGGAACTCTTTGTCTTGGACTTCAAAACCGACTCAACCTCTCCTTAATGTTTTTTTCTCCTTTTGATTCTAAAATAAATTATGCAAATAAATTTTGGAGGCTTTGGCATTATAGTTTAAGTCATCCTCATCATTTAAATTTGACATCTTTGTTTTCTTCTAGTGCTTTATTGAATAATTGATACTAAGGTTGTGGTCGAAAAATCTTGTGAAGATTGTATTCTTGCCAGAGCTGTGACTTTACCTTCCAGTTCTAGTAGGACTAGGACTTTACCTTCCAGTTCTTTTCAATTTAGTTCACAGTGACGTGAGGGACTTCCACTCACCAGTTCATTGATTAGAAAATTTTATTTTGTTTCCTTCATCGATGATTGGTCTAGGTAATCTTGGATACATCTTTTGCATAAAAAATATGAAATATTGCAAGTGTTTAAGGAATTTCATGCCATGGTGGTCACCTAATTTAACATGCGAGTAAAAATTTTACACACAGACTCAAGTGGAGAATATATGTCATTGACATTCAAAGATTTCTTGACTAAATAAGGAATTTTACATTAATGAAGTTGCCCTCATACATCACAACAAAATAATGTTGTCGAAAGAACAAATAGACACAATCAAGAGACTGCTAGGCACTTCTTCTTCATTCCAATATGTCTAAAGTATTTTGGGCAAAAGCCTTCTTAACCAGTGTATACTTAGTTAATAGGTTGCCTACTCCTGTATTAAATGATACTTCACCACTAGATAATTATTTGGGCATTCCCCTAAGTACTCCTTACTTTGAACCTTTAGTTGTACTTATTTTGTTCTTCTACCTCCATATGAGTGATCTAAGCTAAATGCTAAGTCTGTCAAATGCATGTTTGTCGGATATGGAGAAACTAAAACATGATATCGTTGTTATGATTGGGAACCTAAGAAACATCCCGAAATGTGATTTTTTTTAGAAAATATACGTCTTTGTAGTTTGAATGTATCTCTTTGTGAAGTAGGATTAGGATAAGGCTTTTGTAGTTTGAATGAGTTGTTGTATAGGATAACCAATTCCTATTTTGAATTCTATAACGTGTACATACGTGCTAAAATTCCCAAGTGAATATAGAAGATACACTTCTTTGTTTGTTAACAATACACACACTTAAGGGCCACCAATGACAGAACAACCAACAAGTCTACTGCTCAGGTCACAACCACTCAAAACCATCGCTACAACTATGATCATTCTCAACAATTAAGTGACAGGAGTGGTTCTTCCTCTACACAAGATCCTATTTCCTCCTCCTAAGACAAAGGTAATCCTTGTACTTTCATGTCTTCCTATAACGCCTTTCATTAGATAATAAACTCAGGGACCACAGATCATATGATTGATAAGGTAAAGTACCTATCCAACTTTTTTTAAAAAATGTTAATATGAACCTTGTGTCTATTGTTAATGGTTCTTTGATTCTTTTCCATGGTGTTGATAAGACCAAGTTATTCTCTAAACCTCATAACTCATAATTTTTATTTCTGCCTTCCCTCTAACTTGATGTTTGTTAGTAGAATTACCCAAAGCATGAATTGTAATATTATTTTTTCCGCTAACTGTGTGACTTTTCAGGACCGAGCCATGGGGAGTAAGATTGGTGAAGGAAGACTGTCTCATGGGCTATATTTATTTAATCAAGAGATTAAGGCTTTAGTAGCCAGTCAAAATAATTCTGATGTTAATAAAGTGTAGCATTGGAGATTTGGACACCTTTCAGATCAAGTTTAGAAACTTTTAATGCCTTCTTTATCTTTAAAGTCTCATTCTTGTGAAGTCTGTAAATTCTCAAAATAGATAAGACTTATTTTTAGTCTTTCATGTATGTTTCAAAGGAACCACTTTATTTGATGCATTCTGATGTATGGGGGACCAGCCCTAGTTGACTTTTATACTGACTTTAAATATTTTGTTACTTTTATTGATGATTAGTCTTGTGCTACTTGGGTATATTTATTGAAATTAAAAACATAGGCCATTTCTATGTTTAAGGAAATTTTCAATATGATTTCTAATCAATATAATGCCAAGATTAGAATTTTGCGAACTGATAATAGCATAGAGTATGAGGATAAAGTTTTTTTTGAGCATTTACATAATCTTGATATTGTACACCAAATATCGTATGTTGGGACAACTTAGAAAAACATAATTGCTGAAAGAAAAAATAAACACATTTTGGAAGTTATGAGGTCTTTGATGTTTCAGATGCATGTTCCAAAAAATTATTGGTCTGAAGTTGTTTTAACTGTTTGCCATCTGATTAACAGACTTTCGAGTAAAATTCTTAAGGATAAATTTCCCCTTAAAGTCTTGAACAATAGAAAAATTGATTTGTCCTATTTGCATGTATTTGAATGCATGTCTTATGTTCATGTTGCTGGGCACAACTGGGATAAACTTGATAAATATTCCAATAGATGTATTATTCTTGGATACTCCTCTACTTAAAAAATATACAAATGTTATGATCCCAAAACTATAAAAGCGTATATTTCCTAAGATGTTCAATTTGTTGAAACAAAGTCATATTTTCATGACATATTAGAGAGTGGTTTAGAATATATGACTCAGGGAGAGAGTTCAAGAGGTTGTTTGCCCTTGCCTAATATTAGTATTAGTGATGTATCCAGCACATCTGAAACAAATCACAATGATCAAGTCGAAGTTGAAAATACTTCTAAAACTCATCAAATTGGTTTATAAGGAGAAGACTCCGTCGTGGCCCCACTTGATTGTCCTTGCGCAGATCTTCTTGTTCCTCTTAACCTTCTTCTAGACTTCAAGATTTTATACTTATCATGAAGTTTTTTATCTTGTTCAAAATCATATTTCCTATGAAAATATCTCTCATGAATATTTTGCTGATTTGAGTCCTATTTCTAATAATTTTGAACCAACCATTATTCAAAATGCTATTTCTCATCCTGTGTGGAGGAAGGCCATGAAATAGGAAGTTCAGCACTTAAAAAGAATCATACATGAGACATTGTCAAGTTACATAAAGGGAAAAAAGCAGTTGGATGTAAATGAATTTTTAAAATCAAATATAATAATAATGGGTCTGTTGAGAGGCATAAGACCAGATTGGTGGCCAAAAGATTTACCCAAACTTATGGAGTCGACTATAAGGAGACTTTTGGACCAGTTGTCAAGATGAATATTGTTCATGTTCTTTTATTTATCATAGTTAATTGTGGGTGGTCTTTGCATTAGATCGATGTTAAAAATGCCTTCTTACATGGTGACCTTGAAGAAGAAGTTTATATGAGTCTTCCTCCAGGCCATTCTAAAGAAAATGAGAAAGGTCTTGTATGCAAAGTAAAGAAGGCATGGTATGGAAAACTCAACTCAGCTTTGATGAGTGTCAATTTTTTTAGAAGTTCAGCTTATTCTTCGACGTTCATAAAAAGGGGAACTTAAGGTACAACAATTGTACTTATTTATGTTGATGATAGTATTATTACAAGTAATGATGAAGAAAGAATCATGAAGCCTAAAAATTATCTTCACAAGAAATTTGACATCAATGATATTTGTCAACAAAAGTATTTTTCTTGGTATTGAAATAACACATTAAAAATAGAGACTCTTCATTTCTAAAAGGAAATAGCACATTAAAAACAAAGGTCTATTATTAACTATTATACATTGGTCGGAGGAAACTTAGTAACTTGGAAAAGAAGAAAACAAAATGTATTTGCTCGATGCAATTCAGAGGCCGAATATAGAGTTATGGCTTCAACTACAAGTGAATTGATATAACTAGAATCACAACTTCGAGATATGGGGTTTCCAACGATCAAACCAATGGAGATGTTCCACGATATTCTGGCAGTTATGCTTATGGCCTCCAATCCAGTTTTTCATGAAAGAACCAAGCATATTGAAGTTGATTGTCACTTTGTAAAAGAAAATGTTCAATAAAAAATTATTAATATTCCTTATATTCGAAGTGAAGACCAACTTGCAGAAATGTTTACCAAAGCTATTGTAAAGATAAAGTTCCACCAGGTACTTTCCAAGTTGGGCTCTACGGATATTTGCGCACCAACTTGAGGGGAGTGCTGCCAGTTATAGTAGCCAAATATTGAGTTTCCTATATTCAGTTAGTTTGTGGGATTACTATTGTAATGAGATTTGTTTCCTAAAAAGGAAAGTGTTGTAACTCTATGAATCTCTGGTAAACTAGAGTAATCTCTATGAATGAGATACTAGTTTACTCTCTGTGGATGTAGGCAACCATTGTCGAACCACTTATATGTCTTGTTCGTTCTTTTCTCTCGTCTTTATTTCTTTTATTGCAAATTCTATAAGGAATAATAAAATATCAGCTGACAAAACATTTATAATAACTTGATTTTATTTCAAAAAACCGGAAGAAAAATCGAGTCAAAATACAAATCACCAAAATATATGTTAAGTTATAGAATTGTGAATATTTTAGATTTGGTTAAAAAACATGTAGCGAAGAAATTGAATATGTAAAGATGACACAATATAGGATTCTGATTAACAGAAATTGTATAGATATATTAAAGCCATTAAACGATAATTTTATAGCCATACTAGTGTCATGTACTAAAAAATCGAATATGTAAAGATGACACAATATAGGATTATGATTTGCAGTTATTCATTGGGTGAACTTTTATCACGAACAAGACCAGATACATTGATCGAGTTGTTAATGACTCATACTTTGCCTTTGGAAAGTATGAACAAGTACTCCCAATGAAACAGTATGAATAAAATCACTTAGAGATATGCAGTGAACCTATAGAGGATGAGTATGGTTCTCGTCATTCAAATGTGCCCAGTTGGACTATGATCAGAGCATGGATTAGTCTATGGATTTCGAGAACAGATGAAGGGTTGTTCAATGACAGTCTAAAGCTGCCTAAAGATGGCTTAACTCATGTCAGTCTCAACGTCAGTCTAAAGCTGCTAAAAAATGGCTTAACCCATTATAGTCTCAATGGCAGTCTAAAGCTACCCAGAGATGACTTAACTCATCTCAGTCTCAACAGCAGTCTAAAACTACCTAGAGATGACTTAATCTATCTATCTTAACGACAATCTAAAGCTGCTCAAAGATGGCTTAACCCATCTCAATCTCAAGAGCAGTCCCAAACTACCCAGATATGATCTTAGTCTCAACGATAGTCTAAAGCTGTCTAGAGATGGCTTAACCCATCTTAGTCTCAATCGTAGTCTAAAGCTGCCAGAGATAGCTTAACCCATCTCAGTCTCAACGGCAGAGATGGCTTAACCCATCTCAGTCTCAACGGCAATCTAAAGCTGCCCAAAGATGGTTTAACCCCTCTCAGTCTCAGTGGTAGTCTAAAGCTACCCATCTCAGTCTCAATGGTAGTCTAATGCTGGTTAGAGATGGCTTAACCAATCTCAGTCTCAACAGCAGTCTAAAGCTGCCTAAAGATGGCTTAATCCATCTCAGTCTCAATGGCAGTCTAAAGCTGCCTAAAGATGGCTTAATCCATCTCAGTCTCAATGGCAGTCTAAAGCTGCCCAGCGATGGCTTAACTCATATCATATTACGAAGCTCTGAAACCACCTGACGATGGATTAACCCACCATCAGTATCATTTTTCAGCAGTTAAATCCTTGAAGGCTTTACGGATTGTGCGGTCAATCGGTTATTGCAAAAGGGGAATTGTTTCTTCGAGAATAATGAGTTCTCTCATTTAAACAACACCGTTGAACTCTAGGCTCCTTACTTTATCACCTTAAAAAGGTTAGCATGGATTGAGTTGAACAACGGAAGTGGCTATAACCCACTACCAACATTGACGATATTGATGAAGCTCGGATTTTACTCCTACGAGATCACGTGGTTCAAAGATTTGAGATGTGCCAACAATTGTATCTGTGAGATAACCTAGTAGAGAGATCAATAGTGTGAGACGACAAGCACAAGAGGTAAATCGAAGATACACACAAAAAGTAAAACCATGTTATGAAGATAAAGCTCGTGCCCTACAAGATTTGTGATTCCATTGAGTAGATAAACTTAAGATGAAGATGGAGGGTGAAGTTCTGAAGATTATAAGTGCATGGTTATCCTCTGAATAACTATAATTTAGCACTATAAAAAGAGGTACTCCTTGAATTGAAGAGGAGGTTGCATTTTTGAGAAACACAGTCTAGTAGAGAATAAAGAGTTATTCAGAGGTTGTGCCTCGGTAAGAATCAAGAGTAGAAAAGAAAGTAATATTCAAAACGCGGGGAGAGAGATAATTGTCTCTTATGTTTCACTTGAGACTTGTTCCCTTTTGAAGACCAGACTTGAAAGATAATAAGTCTGCTTATTTCTACAAGTATATGGGTCGATATTCCCTTGACGTTATCTTTTCCCTTTAACATGTCTATATTTTCTTCTTTAGAAACGATTATATAGGTTTCAAAGTCAGAATCAAAGGTGTTTGGCTTATTTTAATGCTTAAAAGTCGATGTAAATGTAACAGAGGATTAAACCTCTAGAATTGCTCAGTGCCCAGTATAAATAATAAAGCATGTGTTTATGATATGAGTGCACGGGTGAATTTGGCCCCGAATATGATGTCCTCTGGTTTTTCATCTGGAGTCTAATTTTTGTCTAAACATTCCACATTTCTTTTAATACATCCACACTTTGGAGCGATCAAATATATGGCGATTCCACTGGGGAGTAATTTACCTTTCATCTCTGATAAAGTCTAGGAATTCTAATGTCTCTATCTCAATATGTCTGGATTCATGATCATTCCTACTATACTCTCGTGTCTTCCTTATTTACCCTGACAAACGAACCCCTCCATTGTTCCATGCAGTGGAACAATGGAGGCTCCACTGCAT